TGATGGCAAAGAGTTTGTAAAAGAAAGGAACATTGATTGGGAAAATTTCCCTGCGCATAATCCAATCAGGAGGACTATTGAGAGGAGAAAATGGGAATGTCTGGTTTCCTATGCTGAGGATGCATCTAGTGAGATAGTGAAGGAATTCTGTTCAAATGCAGAATTGGAAGATTTGTTTCTCAACAGGGTGTCCACGGTGAGAGGTGTAGTAGTGCCATTTGATAAATATACTATTTTGACTCAGTTCAATATGGCTTCTACTTGTGAGTACACCTCTTTGTACAACAGATTGCAGCTATCCCGAGATAGGACTTACCGAGCTGAAGTTCCTGATTTGCTTGAAATCATAAGAAAAGGTATTACTGATCCTTATTCTGCATGGTTTCGTCGACAACCAAATGTGATGCCAGATAAGATGTTCATGAGAGATTTGAATGGTGAATGTCGTTTCTAGCACAATTTTGTTAATGCTACCATTTTGCCATCTTCTAACTTGACTGAAGTGAACATTGAGCGGTGTGCCCTGCTATATATCCTCACTAGAAAGGAAAGGCTGAATATAGCTGAAGTCTTGTCTGATCGGATATGTTACATGATTCAGAAAAGCTGAAAACAAGACGCAAAGTTGGCATTTGCCTCTTTGATTAATAGATTGTGTATTCGGGCTGGTGTGTATATTTCTGATGAGGAGGTGAGGGATGTTAATCCTGAAAAAGAAATGACTTATGAGTTATACTTAGATGGTGTTCAAAAAGCCGAGTTTGAGTATAGAAAAAGGGTTGCTAAGAACGTTAGTAATCCACCATCTCCACGAGTTCAGCGAGTGCCTCTGCCAACCCCAGCTCCTGAGCATGAGCAAGTTGTTGTTGATGCTGAGCCCGAGCCTGCCGCTCCACAGGGGATTCCACCTGGATTTGATTTCTATGCTATGCAGCATCACTTGACTGGCCTTAGGCATGACATGTCTCGTCTCTCCCTTCAAAATGAGAGGATCATTTAGGGAGTGGACTTTCATTCACAGTTTTTGCAGCATGCTTTCCCAGAGGTGCAGTACGCTGATTTTATGCCAGTCTATCAGGATATTCCAGCTCCCTTTAATTATGATCAGCCATATCTCAGATACCCTACTCCTCTTACTGTCGATGTTCCCATGCCTTCTCAGCCTTTTATGTATCCCCAGTCCACTGATCCTGTTGCTACTTTTTCCCGTGCTTCTAGGAGGCTAGTCATTTCTGATAGGGAAGATGAGGATGATGTGGTTGATGATGTTGCAGAGGACCTGCATGATTGATATCTCCTTGCTGCTGGAGATCATTTGCTGTTTTTAGTCTTTGTAGTTTAATTTTTTATTTTTTTTTTGTCTTTTGCTATTTTCAGAGGTGACCATTAGGTTGATGTTAGGGTCCCTTTGAATATCTTTTGGGATGTATTTCCCCGTACACTATTTTTGTGCTAGTGATCATCTTTCTATAATTTGTTGTGTGTTCCTTGTGCAGTTGTTATAAATCTAAGGTTTAGTTATTGCTGGGGACAACAATTTTCTAAATCTGGGAATGGGGAGCATTGACATGCATAGTTGTACAAGTGGAACTGCACTATATATTAGGGAGATATTTTAACCCATTTTTTGCTTTTTATTTTAGTTGTTGATTTTGTTGTTTTGAGTTGAAAAATCTTGGAAATATTCTGACAAGTCCCAGGTTTAGACATGTTTTCCCTAGTTAACTTGACTGATTTATTATTTGGAAGCATGATCTTTATGAATTTCTGGCATGATATTGCATAAGCTTGAGTAGACTCATGATTGCTCGTTTGCCTGAATTTGTGTTTGAATGATTAATGATGCCTGATTTTCTTTTGGGAGTCTAGCTTGATACCATAGCTGGTGAGGTGTTGTGCTTAAACACTTATATTTCTTCTTGAGAGACCTCGCTGTGATAGTACTCTGGAGCTTGCTCTGTTACTCTGTGATGCATGCAAGTTTGAATTGATTAAAGCAGTTTGTTCTTGTAGCCATAGCCATATAGCGCACCTGTATTTGATTATCCATTGCTAGCCCCTTTGAGCCTGAGCCTGTTTGTTCATGATTTACCCGTTGATTGCTTAGCCATATCCAATTGTCTTACTTTGGTTTTGATTGAAATGTTAAAAATAATAAAGAAAAATGTAAGGGGAGCTCCACTAAGCTAAGTGATCCAAAGAGGAAAAAAAAATTAAAGAGAAGAAAAATTGTTCATAGCAATGAAAGGTGGTAAATAAAGGAATTGGTTCCCGAAATTCTGTGAGAGCTAGTGGAGCTAAATTTTATTGAGATATGAGTGTGCTTCAAAAGTACGTAAATCTGTGTGTTTCAATCTCAACTTATATGTTAGCTACTGTCCATAAATTCCTAACCCTGAGCCTGGCCAAGTTATATCCTTTGTAAGTCCTTCTGATCAAATTATGCATGTGTTATAGTTCCTTATCTTTGGGAATTTTGAGAATATGATCAAGTTTTGGTTGTGCTATTGTTGTGGTGGAATTGAGTGCTTGTTATTCCCCTAGACACTTGAGTGATGAGTGTTATATTATATCTGTGAGGGGTATTCAAGTTAGATCTCTGACAATTTTCATGAGAATGAAGGTATTGTTGAGAGTTCAGTACATTGATTCAGGCATGCTTAGTATAGTGGTCTATGATTGCTTGTGTGATATTATTGCTGGATTGTTGCTTTTGTTGGTCTTCCTATGGTCTGATCTTGTCTATTGCTGGGGACAGCAACGTTTAAATCTGGGAATAATTTGATGTGCCTCTGGCATATATGGTTTTCCAAGACAAAAATATTAGATTTTAAGTCTATTTGTAGTTGTTTTTAGACATAGTTATTTTATATTTTCATTTTTATTATCTCAGTTTTATTTCTCACTTTTTATTTATTTTTATATAGGTTTTAGCAAGAAAATACAAAAAAAATCCAAAAAAGAGGAAAACTGATCGTGTCATGGGCCATTTTTCAGAGAAGCCACGCTATATCGCGTGGACCATCGTGTGATACCGCGTGGCCAACCCAGAATTTCCAGATCAGGCTATCATACATTGACCAGAGTGCCCACGCGATACAGCGCAGGATCCCGCGCGATGGAGCGCGGGAAGTACGAAAGTTGCGAATTTATGAGGGTATTTTTGGAAAAGTGGAAGAAATGAGATAAATGTTATGCTCCTTTGGTGTTTGGCGGCAGACACACATGGGTGGAGGCTAGGTTTTGGAGAGTATTGCAGAGAGAATTCATTCTTCTTCATCTTTTCTTTTTGGATCTAATTTCTGTTTTATGTTGGATTCTTGTATAGCTACCATGTCTATGGCTAGCTAAACTCCTTTGTTGTGGTTAGGGTCACAAGCCCTTGTGAACCCCTGATACGATGGATTGAGTTTTTATACTTTTATATATATCTTTTATATTTCGTTTCTACTCTGATCGTATTGATATCATTTTTATTAGAATTGATCAATCTAGTAGTTATGGTAATTTGGGGATTAGGGCCAACAAGAGGAATCTGCGGCTTTTAATCTAGAAAGGGGGTAGAACGATGGTATGAATGCGTTCTAGGGATAGACGTATTTCGTATTGCAGACATTTAATTTATCGATCTCTATGCTTAATTTTATATAGAGCACCTCAAGGAATTAGGGCTCCATATTGGATTAAAGGGTTAATTCATCAAGGAATTGAGGGTTAACTATTGATATTTTATCTGATAAATTGTCTGATTATATTTATATATTGGTATTTGAAATCAATCCGGAGTAAAAGGAGGGGATCATCGGTGAGTGTTCTCTAACGACAGCGTTTTCTCTCATATTCTCTAAACCTTTTTCCTGTGTTAATTCCAATTAATAGAAAATCACAAATACTTTTTAAATTGCAATTCAATTTCTACTCAAATCCTGACATTCATGTCAAAACTTCTTGAATCTTTTCATTTTAAAAGGATAGATTTTTTTCTGATATTAGATACACTCCTTTTGGCGCCGTTGCCAGGGAGTGACATTTTAATATCAATTAATCTTGATTTTTAAGATTTAAAATTGTGAATATTTTGATTTTGATTTTTAATTTTTGTTTTTGTTACTTTGCTACTAATTCTTTTTCTGAGTTGTATGCAAGGCAGCATTTTTCTAAGGAGAAGTGCAAGAATTGCTCAGAGGGAGAGAGAAAGAGAGAGAGCACAGGCAACCGGTACTTCATCAATTGACAATACAGCCGTACCATTTGAGATACCAGAGATGGATGCTCCTAATCAGAATGCAGATCCACACATGAATACTATCCTCACACCTGTTTTTAACAGGCCAAAGGCTGGCATTGTTCCACCTGACCTTGGAAACAATCAATGGGAGCTCAAGTCCAATATTATTCAGCTGGCTGAAAGAGAAAAATATGGAGGAGAAGATGATGAAGATCCGCATAGATTTGTTGATAGATTTTTAAGAATCTGTGATTCCACAAAGCCTCCACATGTTTCAGATGATGCCATACGGTTGAGACTTTTTCCTTTTGCTGTTAAGGGAAAAGCTCTTGATTGGATGGAAAGACAACCTGCTGAAAGCATCCTTACTTGGGAAAATTTGTCTGAGAAATTCTTTGCAGAATTCTTTCCCATGGAAAAATACAATAACATGGTGAATGATATCACATCATTTAAACAACATCTGGGAGAGACCATCTGTGCTTCTTGGAATAGATTTAAGGCTCTCATGAGAAAATTTCCTCATTATAACCTATCTCAAGGCGATCAGGTGCGGATTTTCTTCAATGGGTGTCTGCCTGAAACCAAATTGGTTGTGAATACTGCAGCAGGAGGTTCTTTGGGAGACAAACTAGCATCTGAGTCATATCAGCTGATTGACAAATTGGCTAAGAATGAGAATGAGACAACCTCAAGGCTGGGAAAAAGAGGAGTCGTGCCATTAAGTGATCATGATGCAGTCTTGGCTGAGTAAAAATTATTGTCTTAGCAGATGACTAATTTGAATACCAAATTTGAGAGGATGCAGCTTTCTAAAGTTCAAGCTAATGTTGTTAATGTTGAATGTGAATACTTCCATGAGAATCATGATACTAATGCTTGTCCAACACTGATGTCTTCAGATTCTTCTCAACAACTGCAAGTAAATGGTGTTTGGTATGATCAGCGTCCTAACCAGCAAAATTACCAAAGAAGGAATTATCAAGGCACTGGTTTAGATATAAAATCTGATAATTATTTGAAGCCACCATCTATTCCACAAAGAGAGCCTTCTGATTTGGAGCGGTTAGTTGGATCTTTGGCACAAAGTACTAATGCTTTCATGGAAGAGAGTAGAACTAATCAAAGAAGTACCAATGCTTTCATTGAGGAGAGTAGAGCTGATGCCAGGAATACCAAAGCTTCAATTAAGAACCTGGAAAATCAGATTGGTCAGCTTGTCCAACAATTGTCTGACAGAGAACCAGGTACATTTCCTGGCAATACTATCACTAATCCTAAGGAAGGTTGTATGGCTATCACCACCAGAAGTGGTAAAGTGGTGGCATCTCCCCCAAAGCCTATCATTGAGGTGGAGGAGGATGAGAAAGTTGAAGAGGTAGAGAAATCTGAAAAAGAAGCTGAGAGTTCTCCAAAAGTAGTGAAGCCTGTTGTTGCTGGTAAACAGAAAGACCAACCTGTTGTTTCAAAAGAGAAGTTTGAGCTTAGTGAGGAATATCTTATGAAAATGGCACCTTACCCTGGAAGGTTGAAGCCAGAGCTGAAAGCAAAAAGCTATGACAGGTTTCTTGAAATTTTTAAGAAGTTGCATGTGAACATTCCATTTGCTGAAGCATTGGCTAGTATGCCAAATTATGCAAAGTTCATGAAGGACCTTCTCTCCAGAAAGCACAAGCTGCAAGAATGTCAAACAGTTGCACTTACTGAAGAGTGCAGTGCCATCATTGCTAGAAAGTTCCCTCCTAAGCTTCGTGATCCTGGAAGCTTCAACATTGAAATTGAAATTGGTGAAACAAAGATTGGCAGGGCCTTATGTGATTTGGGGGCAAGCATTAATTTGATGCCTTTATCTGTCTGTAAAGCCTTAGGGATTACTTAATTGAAGCCTACTTTGGTTTCTCTTCAGCTTCCTGATATATCCCTAAGGAAGCCCAGTGGTATTATCGAAGATGTTCTTGTGAAAGTTGACAAGTTCATTTTCCCGGCTGATTTTGTTGTGCTTGATATGGAAGTTGAAAATGAAATGCCCCTTCTTTTGGGTAGACCTTTCTTGGCCACAGCTCGCGGCTATGATTGATGTGGAGCAAGGGAAACTTGTGTTAAGAATGAATGACGATACAATTACTGTCAATGTCTTTGATTCTATGAAAAGACCCTATGAAGATGGTGATTGTTTCAAAATTGATGTCTTAGAGGAGGTGGTACATGAAGAGAAAACTCCTTTGCAAGAATTGAATGATGATTTGCATGAGCGAGATCATATCCCTTTTGAGGAGGATACTTATGTTGCTAATGAGTTTCTTGAACATAAGGAGTATGATAAAGAAATAGGTGCTCCTAAAGTTGATCTAAAAGAGTTTCCTATTAATCTGAAGTACATGTTTCTGGGAGATAATGAGACATATCTTGTAATTGTTAATAAGGGGTTATCTTCTGATGATGAGAAAAAGTTGAAACAAGTTCTTCTAGAGCACAAAATTGACTTGGGATGGTCCATTACTGATCTAAAGGGTATAAGTCCTTCCTTCTGCACACATAAGATTCTGATGGAGAATGATATCAAACCGGTAAGGCAGCCTCAAAGGAGATTAAATCCCATGATGAAGGAGGTGGTGAGAAAAGAAGTTGTTAAACTCCTTGATGCAGGCATGCTTTATTCTATATCCTATATTGCATGGGTAAGCCCTGTACAAACTGTACCTAAGAAAGGAGGTATCACTGTGGTGAAAAATGATAAATATGAGTTGATCCCCACCAGGACAATTACTGGCTGGAGGATGTGCGTTGATTATAGAAGGCTTAATGCTGCAACAAGGAAGGACCACTTTCCTCTTCCCTTTGTGGATCAAATGCTGGAAAGGTTAGCATTTCACTCTTATTATTGTTTCTTAGATGGGTACAATGGCTATAATCAGATTGCAGTAGCCCCTGAAGATCAGGAAAAGACAGCGTTCACTTGTCCCTTTGGCGTTTTTGCCTATAGGAGGATGCCGTTTGGGTTATGCAATGCACCTGCTACTTTTCAGAGGTGCATGCTGTCTATTTTTTCTGATATGGTGGAAAAGTATTTGGAAGTTTTCATGGATGAATTTTCTGTCTTTGGCTCTCGTTTTGATGTTTGTTTAGATAATTTGTCTAAGGTGCTACAAAGATGCCAAGAGACAAATCTGGTTCTCAACTGGGAGAAATGTCACTTTATGGTCCAAGAGGGCATTATGCTTGGACATAAAATTTCAAGGGATGGTATAGAAGTGGACAAAGAAAAATTGATGCTCATTGAAAAACTCCCTCCTCCAGTTAACGTTAATGGAGTGAGAAGTTTCCTTGGCCATGCTGGCTTTTATAGAAGATTCATTAAGGACTTCTCTAAAATTGCTAAGCCACTAAGTCAGCTTCTGATGAAAGAGAATGAGTTTTTTTTATGATGCTTGTCTCAAAGCATTTAATTTGCTAAAAGAAAAGCTCACCACTGCTCCTGTTTTAATATCTCCTGATTGGAGTATGCCTTTTGAGTTAATGTGTGACGCTAGTGATTTTGCCATTGGTGCAGTTCTTGGGCAGAGGAAAAATAAATTGCTGCATGTTATCTACTATGCCAGTAAAGTTTTGAATGAAGCTCAAGTGAATTATGCAACAACTGAAAAGGAGATGCTTGTTGTGGTGTATGCTCTGGATAAATTTAGACCATATCTCCTTGGTGCCAAGACTATTATTTTCACTGATCATGCGGCCATAAAATATTTGATGTCCAAACAGGATGCCAAGCCACGATTGTTAAGGTGGATGCTGTTATTCCAAGAATTTGATTTGGAAATAAAAGATAAGTCTAGAATGGAGAATAAAGTTGCTGACCATCTGTCCAGAATTCAGGAGAAGAACCTGCAAGATGATCCTGCTATAGAAATCAATGATTCTTTCCCCGATGAACAGGTTCTTGCTATTTCTTTAGAGTTATTTGAAAAATCGATTTTTGCTATGCATGTAAAGCCTTGGTTTGCTGATGTTGTCAATTTTAAAGTGATCAAGAAAATACCTCCTAGTCTCACAAAGCAACAGGTGAAAAATTTTCTGTATGATGCGAGGAGGTATGTATGGGATGATCCCTTTCTTTATTTCCAATGTTCTGATGGTATCTTGAGAAGGTGTGTATCTGAGATGAAAATTACAGAAATTTTGTGGCATTGTCATAATTTTGAATATGGTGGCCATTTTGGTGGTAATAGAACTGCCCAAAAAGTATTACAAAGTGGTTACTATTGGCCTACACTTTTCAAAGATGCAAGAGAATATGTTGAAAAGTGTGAAAAATGCCAGAAAACGGGTAACATATCCCGTAGAGATGAGATGCCTCTAAACAGTATTATGGAGGTGGAGTTATTTGATTTGTGGGGAGTTGATTTTATGGGCCCATTTATATCTTCCTATTCCAACCACTACATTTTGGTAGCTGTTGATTATGTTTCTAAATGGGTTGAGGCAGTGGCTCTTCCTACTAATGATGCCAAAGTGGTTGTGAATTTTCTGCGGAAGAACATTTTTACTAGGTTTGGTGTGCCAAGAGCAATCATAAGTGATGGAGGCTCCCATTTTTGCAACAAGCAGTTTGAGAATTTGTTGGCCAAGTATGGTGTCAGGCATAAGGTTGCTACACCTTACCATCCGCAGACTAGTGGTCAAGTCGAGGTTTCCAACAGGGAACTGAAGCGCATTATGGAAAAGACTGTTAGCATTTCTCGGAAAGATTGGTCAAAAAGATTAGATGATGCACTATGGGCATATCGAACTGCATATAAAACTCCTATAGGGATGTCCCCTTATCAGCTGGTGTATGGGAAGGCTTGTCACTTACCTGTGGAGCTTGAACATAGAGCCTTTTGGGCTATCAAATTCCTGAACTTTGATACTACAGTAGCTCTTGAGAGGAGAAAA